TGTTTCATCATTTAGTTTTACTCGCTCTGAAGTCAATGTATTTTTATTAATTGATAAATTTCTCTGTACTAGCGCTTCCATTCTGAATAGTTAAACAGCTCTTAACAAATTTACTGACATTTAAATACTTAGTTTTTCCATATTTTTTGTCACTTTTAAAAAATGTAGCCCAATAATAGTGAATTATTTTTAATTTTTTTGTATCAGCAGTGAAAAACAATCTCATTTTTAATAATACTAGCAATAAAATTACTGATAAAATCCATACTTTAAACCAACCATGTAAATCAAATGCAAGCTGCTCAGCATCCTTACCTAAAACTATTATTGCTTTTCGAAATGCATTATGCGCTGAGTGCAAAGTGCAACTTATAAATATTAATAATCCATTGAAACCATCACTATGAAGATCAGCATTTAATAACTTCAAAATGGCTTTGTTAATATTAGGACCATCAGCTGAAATAATAAAAAATACCACAGTAAACCAATTCTTTCATTATGACATAAAATTGCAAGCATTTTTTGACATCTTCTGCTGTTACTCTGTCCAAGAACATTTAAATATTTTGTAACAACTTGGTTCTCTTCTTCTGACCTAAAATAACATAGAAGATCTTTTTTTTTTTTTTTTTTTGCTGTGCTGTAGTTGTTTCATTAAACATTAAAGTAAAAGCTTCTTGAATTATAAATACACTAGAACACAGGTGTTTTTCCAAAAAGGATTCAAAGCCATCTTAAAATATAAATAAAGCTTTTTGTCTACTCATACTAAAACCTTGACTTACTATACAATCTGGAAACATTCTTTGAAATAATAATGATGTATTATCACAATCTCTTAAAGCAAGGTCATTTTCAGCTACTTTAAACAGACTCAAAGCTTCTGTAGCTGAAATTTTATCCTTTATAGAATACTTCAATTGTACTATTTTTTATGCTCCAATAGAGATTTTATATGAATCTACATATAAATGACGAGCTGTTTTTGAAAATCTAATATAAGAAACTAATTTATGTTTAGGTTTTGTAGAATGCTGACAAAATGCTTGAAAACCAATTAAATAATATTTCAAATCACTAAAACAGTTTACAAACTGCACAACAGAGTTTTTTTTCTCAGCCCATAGATTAATTTAAAATTCATTTTTATCAATCTTTTCCGAACCTCATTAAATTATATTAATCTTAAATTCCATTAAACATAGATCATCCAGGCCGTACTTTAAAAATCCAGAAAATTGTATGGGTAAAATATCTGTATTATATTTTCCCTTATATTCCTCTTAATTTTGCCTTTAGCTGATGTGTTTTTTCAAACTTTTTCTAATTTTTGTATGAGTGATAAGTGAAAAAGCTTAAAAAACAAATATATTACAAAAGTATACACCTTAACTTGTATGAATCGAAAACAATTTTGATATCCGGAACTTCAAAAATATATGAAAAAAGATAATTCCTGATTTAACCATTATGACTTTGACCACCGTTATTTAGGAAAAAAATTCCCTGATTTTCCCTGATTTTTTTGCCAAAAATTTGCTTTTTTTCTCCCTGATTTTCCCTGATTTTTTTCTAAAATTTTGCTTTTTTCCCCCTGATTTTTCCCCTTGAATTTTGCTTGATATTTCCAGCATTCAAATGCTCAAACTTGACATTAAAATTTCCCTAATAACCCCAGAGTATTTTTACCTTTAAAAAAACAGATACTTTAATCCCCCAATAAGTAATAAACCAATCAATTTGCTTGAAAATTAAAATAACTAATCAAATACTTCAATCAACATATGATATTTTTCTTTGAACCAGGGTATATTTAAAATGGATATGTTCAACAGGCATTGAAAACCTGTCAGACTTATCTAGGGTACAAGATAACGAAATTCAAAAAAATGTAATGAATGTAATAAATTTCTAATTGTATGTTTTATATACATCATTAAATACTTTTTGCTTTTCTTCCTAATATTTCCTAATCTAAAAGATTATCACGCTATTTTATTTTGCTTGAAGTATTCTATTTTCCTCCAAATATTTTTAATATTGTAATGAAGCACTAAAAACAGCATTTATCATTTTATTGTTAATTTCTATTTTGTGAGCCTTCTATTTGTTTGACACCTTAATATCCTTGATAGTGCGACAAGATATAAGTGACATTCCTTTCATTTTTCACTGAACATATTAATGGTAATACTGAAACCTCACTCAATTGATGCTTTCCCATGACATAATGTAAAAATAAATATCAAAATTTGACAAAACCTTATAATCTACTCCAACTTTAATCGTTTCAAAATAAAACTTGTTTAAACAATTGCCAGTGTGAAAATATTTGAATGCAAGTCAAAGAGTAGATAAACTTTCCTCTAACAATTTTAAAAGTTATATGAAAGCTTGATCACATTCATTTGAAGTAATATGTGAGCAAGAAAGAACTAGATGTAGTACAGATTTTATCTGATGAAGAAGATCAGCTTTTTGTTTAGAAAGATTTGACACTGGACTGATGTAAGCAGTTGCTTCCAGAAAAGAAAATCGATCCAAATTTCAAATATTTTTTCCAGAATTCCAATAATAATGAGACGGCAACCTTTTATGAATCTATGATGACATCTTGAGATAATGCATCCTTTTTCCTCAATTCAATAATGTCATGTTCTGCAGCAAATCCAATTATCATTAATTTTAATAGCAGAAAGTTTTTCTTTTTTGTAAAATCATATTATTGAAGTTTCCTGCTATTAACGATGCTAAGGACATCTTGTTTTATAATTAAACCCATTAAACTTTTGACAGTTGAGAACAAATCTTAAAAAGATTTTCTGCAACAAACTTGCAATGTAACCAAAAAACTTCAATTTAGTCAGAATTATCTTATCTTTTGTTCCCTCGAACCAGATTTGTAAGTCCTTGACCTGAAAATTTTGGCCTTGGCATTGATTGTTTTGGCCTTGGCCAAAAAAAAATAATACTCTTGGCCTTGGTCTTGTAACTTTTGGCCTTGAACTTATAACGCATGGCCTTGGCCTTGATACTTTTGGCTTTGTTAACAACTCTGCCCTGAACACTTGTCATAGCTCTTTCATTTTGGTTGCTTACTTTTAGAAAGTAATAGTCTCCCAATACTTGGTTATTTTTTTTAACATTCTTCCAAATTAAACAAAGTCTATCTGCAACTTTTCGGTCTACAACCCAGCGTGTTGAGCAAAATGCACAAGGAAAACTCTCACGTTTAGTAACAGTTACATAATCAGCTCTTCTAGCCAAAGAATCATAAAAAAGGTTGTATGATGCTTTCATTAACTTCTTTATATTCCATTCAGCAGATTGAAAACCCGATTTGAAACCATATATTAGATGAAGGTTACAGCTTCCAACGTTAAGAAGTTTAGGTAGCTCTTGTTGATCATGCTGCAACTCAAAAAAATTAAGAAGGGACCAGTTCACATTTGTACCTTCATATTTGTACTTTCCATATATAGTTGAGTCATACTTTTAAGTTAATTCTTTGCTGTAGGGTGACCTAAAAATTTAGAGTCAAAGTATCTGGATTCAACATGATTTAGATTGCTGCTCCAAAACTGAATATTTACTGATTGACTCTTTTTAAAAGAATCGTTCAGGCTTTCATCAAGTGAAAAAGTATAATAAGGAGATTTTTTTATATTTTCAGTTAAAAGTCTGTAAAAATAAAGCCCATTACCAAAATTAATTGTATAACCAAGTTTTGTCCCTCATTTCATAAGATTTAGCAATATTGCTATCAGGGATCATTTTCTGATAAAGTAGGCATTTTCATTACATGAGTTCAATGAGAAATTATTCTGTATTGCATTTAAAACAGAGTAGATTTCTGTACAACTTTTATCACATTAATCTAGTGTTTGAAGTGCTTGCTTTTTAGATGTGGACTGTGCAGATATGAAGAAGCAAGATACTGGCTTTGACTTTTGTGCATGTTTTTTGCCATCCATATGACTTATCATAGCTCTTCTGCATATTTGACAAATTAAATTCAACTAGGCATATTTTGCATTTGGCTGACTTTTTTAAACTGCCTATTACCAGCCATTTTTCAAACAAAGGATCACTTTTTTCTTTGAATTACGTTGCAAAAATTAAATTAATGTAAACACAATATGATTAATTTTCTTTAAAAATGTTGAACATTAATTCTGGTACCCTTAAAAAGGAAGATTTTTATTAGAAAAAATTAAAGTAATTAAAAATTAAAAACATTAAAGAAAAATTAAAAAGTTCCCTGATTTTCCCTGATTTTTTCTTAAATCAATCATTTCCCCCTGATTTTCCCTGATTGTATCTAAATTTCCCTGATTTTCGCTGAATTCCCTGATTTCCCTGATTCAGTGGCGACCCTGCTATCTATTGATTAATATAGACCTATCTATTGATTAATATACTTAAAATTAAAAACATATACAGGTAACTTTACAAATACTAAAAATTTTATTTACAATTTAGTTCTTAATTCAGTTTATCAACCAATAAAAACAATAAAAAACAATTTAACAGTTCAAAAAATTACAACATTTAAACAAAACTTAAAAAGAAAAAAATTGTAAGAGAATATTTAATGTAAAATTAATTTTAATTATCAAAAATAAACTTAAAGTAAAATAAACCTTAACTCAATTTAAATACTTAAAAAAAAATTAAAAACTGACAAAAACTCACAAAAAAATGAAAAAAAATAAGTTAATAAAAAAGACCCAGAAAAAAATGAAAAAAATGACAACTTGACAGCCTGTATACTAGTCAATTGCAATTTAAACGAAACTAATGTTCCATATTTCTGGTAAATATATTGTTGTTGTTGTTGAGGTTAAGGTTAACTGAAAGTTAACCAACTTTTAGCTTAAGATTGGAAAACAGTAAATTTAATAAAGCATACTTCAAATAAAATAAAACATACTTCATTATACAATGATTAAAATTTTATAAGAAACGCAATAAAAATTGAATTCAAAGGACTCTACCTTTAAAGTTAATACCAAGAAGCTTTTGATGAATTGGGTTAACCTTTGTTTTTTCATATATAATCTCTTTTAGTCGAAGTACTGTTATCTGCTCTGAAATGTCTTCAAGCAGATATTCCTTGCCATTCCATTTGATTACTAGATTCATTCTTGTCGGAGTCAACCGTAAACTTAAGAAAGCAATTATTATTATTTTTTAAATTTAACTTTTTTTTAACTTTTTTTTAAAGTATTTATTTTTATCGGGAAAAGGTACAGGGACAGTGATAGCACGTGATAACTTTCGTTATTGCGGGAACGTTAATGCTAGTGCTTCCAATACCGATACCATTTTTCAATACCAGTATATCGGTACTAAATAATTACAATACCGGTAATACCGGTATAATACCGGTATTAAACTTTATTTTTAAATTTATCATAATCTAGCTTATTTATTTTATATCAAAACTACTGACTTTTTCATTTTTCGCTTTTATCTGCTTTGTAAAATGAGCCCGTTAAAAACATAGGGCGTTCAGAAAATCATCTTCAAAAGATCATCTAATTTTGTTTGTTTCACTGTTTTCAAGTAATGGTAGAAATTTTGCAAATATATACAACGATTTCCTCCTTCTTCAAAAATTCTTATTTCAATACATATAATTTTTGATGAATTATTCGAAACATTCAATTTTCCCTTGTTGTTACATTTCTTATTTTTCAAAATTGCAAAGTCAAGCTTTTTTTTCAATGACAAGTTTACAGCGTTGTCCACAGAATCACTATCGGAAAATACGCTAGTGAAAGGGAGAGGACTATACCCTTTCTGATTGAGCCGATCTTTCAGTCGAGTAATGGTATTTACAATGGCTAATTTGATATGGTGCTCAAAAGATAGAGCTAGATCTTGTAACGTTGATGTCCCTTGTGCAAAAAATGTTGTATGCTGGAAAATGAGTACATTGCTCATTGAATTGTTGCACCAACATAACTTTACAGCTAAATCGATTTCTCAAAGGTTATCTATCATGAAAATGTTGTATCGGCACACAACAGAGTTGCATGATTTTGGCACAATGTTTCCACAGCCAGTTTTACTGGCGCAAGACATAAGTTAACAGCTAATATTGCATTGGACTCATTATTAGTTACCTCAACTTTGGACTCAAGGGCAAAAAGTGACTCGTGAATGCATTTTTTCAGTTATACAAAACATTCGAGTACTGTGTGCAAGCTAACCCAGCTAGTTTTGGATCCAAATATTAGTGGAATATCTTTATCAAATTTTTCTAACGTGCGTTTTTGAATTTTGATCATTTTTTGTCGGAGAACGACGAAATAAAAATTTCACAACGGTGCGCACCTTTTTGATTAACGGCTGCAAACCATCAGTCAGTTCAATAGAGTCATTCTCTTCACTCATTACAACTTGAAACCGGAAAAGTCTTCATCATTATTGGTTATGTTTGTGTCATCAGTATTTCCTCGTCACTTTCTCTGTTATTGCATATTACTTTCAAGTTTTTTTTTGCAGAAATTGACGATTTTTTTGTACAAAATATCTTGAATACCTAGTTGAATCCCATGCCTAATGCACAACTGTTGATCACAGTTACTTAAACGCCCCACTTTCTACATTACTGAAACTTTTTATATTTACGTTAGTGCAAAATTCAAACATGCGTTCTACATTAAAGCGAGTGGCGTAATGATAATATTTTAAATTGGTGCTTCATTATTTAATGAAAACACGAAAGTAAATGGAATACTTAAAACTTCCAGTCACGATCAAACAACGCTTCCGGTAAGAAAAAGATAGCTAGATGACAAAAGACGTGTTTAAATCGTCTAAAACAAGTATTCTACGTATTTTATACGTCTTAAACGCTAGCTGTTTGCTGGCTAGTTGCTAGCTCATTTCCTACAAAACCTAGTGGGAAATGAGCTGGCAACTAGATATTAAGTATAAAGTACGTAGAATACTTGTTTTAGACAATTTAAACACGTCTTTTCTCATCTAGCCATCTTTTTCCTACCGGAAGCGTTGTTGAAAGTTTAAAGTATTTCATTTACTTTAATGTTTCACGTAAAGAGGGCGATAGCACCTGCTATATCATAAGCCCTCTACATATATTTTTAATACCGGTATTGAGCCAAACCAATACCGGTATTTCGGTACTTAAAAATGTCCGGTAATACCGGTATTCCGGTACCGTTACTACCGGTATTGGAAGCACGATAACAAAACACGAACTATTTTTTGAAGTTGTCGTTGTCGGAGGCTTTTTTCTGAATAGCGACTAAACGAAATCAAAACGCCCACTACAACGAGAACGTAAAATATACGTGGTTGTGGCAAAAACTTTTTTTGCCACAAAATGAAAATCGAGTGTTTTTAATTAATTTAGTAATAGTAATATATTTAAATAAGTCTTTTTTGATAAATTGACAAATAATTAAATAACAATCAAACAAAACCAACAAATTATACAAAAATTTATGGTTTTAAAATATAATAAGGGATTGCGGTAGTGAGAAAGTCGGTATTATATTCTGGGTCGGTCGGTATTAATAACCAACCAATACCGAAGTTATGATATTGAAATTGAAAGTAAGTTTTTTAAATATCAATACTTTTAAAAGTTCGGTATTGAACGGTATCTCTTGTTAGTGTTTGATAGTGTAAACTTAAGTTATCGCCACCATCAAAAGAACCAAACACCTCTTTTGGTTAGCCCGTCTAAAAAGAACTTGCTATTTACAGTATTTAAACCCGTTAAAATTACAAATGCTCCACTTAATCGGCAAAATATCATTGCCATACATCAATAAACGATTTTGATGAGACAAAAAAAAATGATTTATTGAGCTCCAATTTATTAAAGAATCAGAAAAAGTATTTTCAAATGTTGTTTTTATTTAAATTATTAAAATTTTAATGAAAGTACAAAACTAAGTCTTCATCAATGTTCTGCTCATCTTCTTCAACTGACCACTTCTTAATAGCAGCTTTTGAAATGTTTTGTTTAATGTAAACAAGTTTTTCAATTGTGTCTGATTTTAACAATGTTTTTTTGCAAGTAACAATGTTTCATGCTTGTGAAAACACTCTCTCAGACGTTGGTAATGCTGGAATACACAAAACTTTTCTGGCTACTCCTGCAAAAAGAGGTAGTTAAGCAGAGTGAATCTTCCACCAATTTAAAATGTCAAAATTTTTTGCTGGAAAGCCTAGTCGCTTGTACGCTTCCATTTCAGTTTCAAATGGTTATGTTTTAGATGAGCAAAAGTGAGGTAATTCCTGGCTGTTATTTAGTTAGTTTATTAGTTTATTTCGCCGTTAAAAATATTCACAAAGTACAATAATATAAAAAGTACAATTGGCTGGAGCAAGAAGAAGGCATAAAATAGTCTTATCACCGAGCCCCAATATTAGCCCCAATATTAGCACCGAGCCCCAATAACAATAGCTATAATGGTTCATCATCTCTTGAAGGAGTGTCACAGCTGGGAAAACAATCTCACAATTTTAGACAAATCTGTAAACTTTATTTTTGAAAGAAGTAACCTCAGCAACAACAAAAAAAATTAAACTATAAAAGTAATTGAAAATTTATTATTTTATGAAATTTAATTTAATAAAGTAGAATTTCTAACACGAATTTTATGAGGAACAATAAAAGTTCGAATTAAAGAGATTTTCGAATTATAGAAAGTCGATTTTTTCTTAAGAGCTTTTCACGGTAACTATGCATTTAATCGAATTATGGAGGTTTTCGAATTAAGGAGATTCGAATTAGAGAGATTTTACTGTATAATTCAATTTTAATAAAAATTTTAATGGAGAAGTATTTTAAATTAAATTTACATAATTTAATTTTAATAAAATGTCAAATGTTTAGGTAAAATTATTATGCTCTGAAATTTTTTAATTTAGGACAAAATATTTTTAATTAAATTTTTTTCAAAAAATTCGTATTATTACCATTTATTATTACCATTTTTTTTTTACCACATATTCAGGCCTGGATTAAGGCGTAAGCAGTGTAGGCTTCAGCCTACACAACAACGGATTTAGGGGCACGGGCACTACATACTATCCTTATTATTATTTTTTTAAACTAGAAAAATTGTACTATCTGTAAGAAAATTATCGACAATAAGCACAATAGTACCCTGATGTTATTTTTATTTAAATAATATCGGAAATTTGAAATAGTAATAATCAATGCGTTTTGTCATGCGGTCTTCTAAACCTCGTTTTATTTTTAGATTGTTATTTTTAGATAAATTTCTTATATTATTTTAAATAAACGGTGAAAATATAAATTTTACAGATAATCTTTTTAAAAGTTAAAGATCATAGAATATGCAAGTACTTGTCTGATCAAAATGTGTACTTGTTTTATTAAAAAATGAAGGGGAATATCCAAAATTGTTTAATTTTACTATTAGGCTATCGTACTTGTTGCAAACTTGTTAGAAAAGGAGTTTTCTAAACAACAAGTTTACCTTGCCAACCTGCAGAATCTGAAAATCACAGCTTTTTATTCTTTCTGATTTTTTTATTTAACGATTCACATCTGCAAAAAAAAAATTTCTCGTAGGTTACCCTATGAATCAGGTAGAGTTAAGATTTTTTTTTAATTAAACATATATTGTTATATGGGTTTATTTCCGGATTCTTTGCTTTCGCTTTACTAATGTGGAATCATTCAGGCGTATGAAAAATATTGCCACCAAATTTAAAAAGACAAACATTTTTATTCTTTCTCCTATATATACCGTTGTAAATTCGTAAATTTTTACGTTTTTAAAACATTTGTTTACAGACTTAAAATAAAAATATATTTATAAAATGTCTAAAAATTATGAAAAAAAGATGATTTTTAAATTATTTTTTTTTTTGATAATTATTTTTATATTTTACAACAGTAGGGGAGAACTTGCACCCTTGATCCGTAACACCTTTGATCCTATAGCGTTATCTCCATACTTACATACCTTATTAAAGAGGACTGATAACCAGCGTGTTATAAATGTTGTGTCGTCAAAATTAATTGTGTTTTGGTTAAAGAATAGACCACTATTAAATTTATTTCTAAATAGCTTGATTTCGACGACAAAAAGTAATTTTTTTACTTTTACAAGGAACCTCACATCTTTAATATTTTTTTAAGTTGAATAATTTTGCTTATGTCATTTTGTAACTTAACTATTCATCTCTTGTATGGTTGCTTTTGGTAAGCTATAGAAGCATCTAATATGACAAAAAAATATTTTTTGTAAAAATGAAA